ATCCTTTATAAAATGCTGTGGTCTTGTATATTAAGCACGTATTAACTTTACGAGGATTTATGTTTCGTAACTTAAAGCGGGCATGAGAATACCCCAGCTGCTATAACCATTTAAAGGCCATCAACATCTTTTATCTAGCCCCTTTCTCTGGAACGGTTGTTGAAGCAAGTTTTTGCATCATGAATAAATAACATATGTTTTGTCTGCGTGTGTTACAAATATAAGATTATCTAAGAATTTGTGACCTTAAACTTAAGCTCATATGGGCATTGCTGCAGGGACAGTGTATGCAAGACTAGTAAAATATATTAAGCAGGTAACATTATAGCATGAACGTATTACTGAGGCTTTTCAGTCCTCAAGGACCATCCAGCATAAGACAGGAGCATAATGTAGATAAGACATGATGTTGCATAATGTACAGCTTTATATGGTGAATAAACAACAAGAAAAAAAAGAAAAAAAAACCATTTACTGCTGAGCGCGTAGCATTGTGTCCAGATCTGAAGGCCGCGTGGCCTTACGGGTCTGTGTGTCCTGGCTGGCTGAATGAGGGTAGTGTGAGGTTCACCCCTTTTCTCTTGTTCCATAAGTGGTGTATCATACCTGCGTGCTCTGTGAACTTACAGGAAGGATCACATAGAGTTTTTCCCCGCATTGGCCGAGGGGCACTCAGTGTTGCAAGGTCTCCTCAGGTGTTCGGCCCCCAGTCGGTCCCCCCGTTCCACCCAGGCCGCCCCCGCAAGCACCGTGGCTCAGTGGGCACTCGGGGACAACATGTGCTCCTGCGGGGCCCCCCCCAAGAGTCCGCCGGCCCTGTGTTCCCTGCACCTATTTTAATTTTTTTATTTTAATATTATATTATTTTAATAATATTATTTTATTATTATATTATTATTATTTTAATATTATATTATTTTAATAATATTATTATTATTTTAATATTTGCATAATTTTTTTTAAATGTTTCCCCCCCCTCCCTGCTTGTTGCCTGGTCAGGGGGGGGGGGAGCAAAAAAAAACATTTAAAAAAAATAATGCAAATATTAAAATAATACTATAATAATAAAATAATATTAAAATAATATAATATTAAAATAATAATAATATAATAAAATAATCACTAGTTTTATATACAATAATAATATAATAATAAAATGATATAATATTAAAATAATAATAATATAATAATAAAATATTAATATAATAATATTATTTTATTATATTATTATTTTAATATTATATTATTTTAATATTATTATTATATATAAAACTAGTGATTTATAAAGAGGGAGAAGGGAGGGAGGGAAACAATTTTATTTTATTATATTATTATTATTTTAATATTATATTATTTTAACAATATTATTTTATTAAGTGTTCTTGCATAGCAAGACCACTTAATGTTATCTCACATATATATTATTAAGTGTTCTTGCATAGCAAGACCACTTAATGTTATCTCACATATATATTATTATTATTATTATTATAGCAAAATTTGCCACCCTAACTCCTCCCACAGTTTTTACACTACATAGACAAAAATTTACCAAAACGTGCAGATTGTTCCCGATCGGATTGCTATTACTTTGTGGAACGTTTCGCCGAATGGTTCACGGAATATCGTCATTCTTGTGGCGAAATTTGTCCCATAGGAATGAATGGCAAAGCTAGAGTCGGAGCTGGCAAAAGCTGAAAAATCAAGACATGATTTCTAAACTGCCACCACTCCCTTATTTTCAGGCCCAGCTACACAAATCTTATATCAAAACGTTCAGCTATCCCTGCTGCCACTAAACATGTCAACGGCTAAGCCATAGTCCTGATAGTTTTCACAATATAATCATTTGTTTGCAACTAACGCCGTCCATTGACTTTCATTGAAACTTCACTCTGCAAAGCTCAAATTTGAAGTGCAATTTCTAAACTGCGACTGTGCCTTCAATTTTAATACTTCAGAGACATACTATGCATCAAAATGTAGGTCTGGGTCTTGTGATTCTCACAATATAAAGCTCTTCGCTGTAGGAGTTATAGTTTTTAAGATACGACCGTTTGAAGATGGCAACCGCCAAAATACTCTGACCTGTGCCAGGCTGCAGCAGCAAGTGATGTCATAGACAGGGCCTTTTGAACACCTGCTAATGTTTTTATAAAAGTATGGTTTAATGTAACTGTGCAACAACGTTGCAATTAAATGTGCTATCTAAATGATAACAGTTACTCCGCCCACTCCAGTTGTAGACTACTGGTGGAGGCAAGAACACTTCACACAATTTCCCCAGAAATTGTAGCTTTTCTAGTTCTTATTCTTATTCTTATTATAGCAAAATTTGCCACCCTAACTCCTCCCACAGTTTTTACACTACATAGACAAAAATTTACCAAAACGTGCAGATTGTTCCCGATCGGATTGCTATTACTTTGTGGAACGTTTCGCCGAATGGTTCACGGAATATCGTCGTTCTTGTGGCGAAACTTGTCCCATAGGAATGAATGGCAAAGCTAGAGTGGGAGCTGGCAAAAGCTGAAAAATCAGGACATGATTTCTAAACTGCCACCACTCCCTTATTTTCAGGCCCACCTACACAAATCTTATATCAAAACGTTCAGCTATCCCTGCTGCCACTAAACATGTCAACGGCTAAGCCATAGTCCTGATAGTTTTCACAATATAATCATTTGTTTGCAACTAACGCCGTCCATTGACATTCATTGAAACTTCACTCTACAAAGCTCAAATTTGAAGTGCAATTTCTAAACTGCGACTGTGCCTTCATTTTTAATACTTCAGAGACATACTATGCATCAAAATGTAGGTCTGGGTCTTGTGATTCTCACAATATAAAGCTCTTCGCTGTAGGATTTATAGTTTTTAAAATACGACCGTTTGAAGATGGCAACCGCCAAAATACTCTGACCTGTGCAAGGCTGCAGCAGCAAGTGATGTCATAGACAGGGCCTTTTGAACACCTGCTAATGTTTTTATAAATGTATGGTTTAATGTAACTGTGCAACAACGTTGCAATTAAATGTGCTATATAAATGATAACAGTTACTCCGCCCACTCCAGTTGTAGACTACTGGTGGAGGCAAGAACACTTCACACAATTTCCCCAGAAATTGTAGCTTTTCTAGTTCTTATTCTTATTCTTAGCCAAATTTGCCACCCTAACTCCTCCCACAGTTTTTACACTACATAGACAAAAATGTACCAAAACGTGCAGATTGTTCCCGATCGGATTGCTATTACTTTGTGGAACGTTTCGCCGAATGGTTCACGGAATATCGTCGTTCTTGTGGCGAAATTTGTCCCATAGGAATGAATGGCAAAGCTAGAGTGGGAGCTGGCAAAAGCTGAAAAATCAGGACATGATTTCTAAACTGCCACCACTCCCTTATTTTTAGGCCCACCTACACAAATCTTATATCAAAACGTTCAGCTATCCCTGCTGCCACTAAACATTTCAACGGCTAAGCCATAGTCCTGATAGTTTTCACAATATAATCATTTGTTTGCAACTAACGCCGTCCATTGACATTCATTGAAACTTCACTCTACAAAGCTCAAATTTGAAGTGCAATTTCTAAACTGCGACTGTGCCTTCATTTTTAATACTTCAGAGACATACTATGCATCACAATGTAGGTCTGGGTCTTGTGATTCTCACAATATAAAGCTCTTCGCTGTAGGATTTATAGTTTTTTAGATACGACCGTTTGAAGATGGCAATCGCCAAAATACTCTGACCTGTGCCAGGCTGCAGCAGCAAGTGATGTCATAGACAGGACCTTTTGAACACCTGCTAATGTTTTTATAAATGTATGGTTTAATGTAACTGTGCAACAACGTTGCAATTAAATGTGCTATATAAATGATAACAGTTACTCCGCCCACTCCAGTTGGAGGCTACTGGTGGAGGCAAGAACACTTCACACAATCTCCCCAGAAATTGTAGCTTTTCTAGTTATTATATTATTATTATTTTAATATTTGCATTATTTTTTTTTTAATGTTTTTTTGTCCCCCCTCCCTGACCAGGCAACAAGCAGGGAGGGGGGACAAAAAACCATTTAAAAAAAATAATGCAAATATTAAAATAATAATAATATAATAATAAAATAATATTATTTTAATAATATTAAATCCCTGGTGGTCCAGTGGCATTGGTTGTTCAGTGGGGGGACTGACAGCGAGGTGTTACTTACCTTCCTGCAGCTCCTGTCATCTCCCTTCTCCTCCGTGCAGCTCCTCTGTCAGCTCCGTTCTGCTTACAGTGCGGGTCTCGCGAGACTTACACTGTAAGCAGAACAGAGCTGACAGAGGAGCTGCACGGAGGAGAAGGGAGCTGACAGGAGCTGCAGGAAGGTAACACCTCGCTGTCAGCCCCCAACAGGACCAGCGGTCCTGGTCTGTATTGTGGCAATGTAAATTGTAAATGTAAATTGCCACAATACAGACCTTGACTCGAGTATAAGCCGAGTGGGGGGTTTTCAGCACAAAAAATGTGCTGAAAAACTTTGCTTATACTTGAGTATATACGGTATATGTTATAATCTGAATCTATTTAAGTAAAAAAAAAAATATGAACACATAGTTCTATCCAATTTGTTAGCCCATGCCTGAATGAAAAGTTATTTCTTTCTGTATTTTTTGAACTTTTTAGAATGCAATGACAAAGAATCTTCTTAATTTGCAATGACTCCTGCAGGATCATAAAAAATATTAGAATAATATTATTTGCTAGGAATAGGGATTGTAGATGCACTTTGTGTTATTTAGTGGTAGGGTGGATTTAGGGACAGCCTTGCAGCCAGTTTACAGCAGACATCTTGAGTAAGGAGGAAGTGATAATATATATGTCTGAACAATGTATTGATTAAAGCAATAACCTACCTGAAGGTTAATCTGGCATCCATACTACTGTAAATGACAGGCTTGCTAAATATTCTTATGGCAACACTGCAGGCAACATAACATTACTTAATTATGTGGAATAAGTTGTTATGGTGCCAGAAGGTGACTGGTGCTGGCTTACCTTTAGGCTTTAAACCGTTCACAAACAGTTTAACCCCAAAGTTCTGAATCGAGCGCCTGGTCACTCTACCCTCTGTCTTCCCACTGATGAGGATTTTAAAAGAGAAAACCAAGGCCAGGGGCGCCACTTATTGTCTGAGAGCATCAGCGGATGCTCTCAGCCAGTCAGTAGCTCCCCATTCACAAATGAGAAGCTGCGTCAGCTGACGTTCTCAACCATTCAGCAGCGCCCCATTCACAAAACCGCTTGAATAAATGTGTACATTGCCCAAGCCGTTTTGCAAATGATAAGCTATGTCATCCGATGCACTCAGCCAATATGCAGCGCCCCCAGGCCGGAGGATTTCTAGGCATCCAGGTGCTAGATACTGAACCAATGGTAAGCCGACTTCAGGGATCTTCTAAAACCATAACAACTTAATTCTAAAAAAAGTTTTTATGGTGTCTGGAGTGTTCCTTTAAATATTCATTTTATATGTTGCTTTGCTGGCCCACTAGCATAAAATGCTTAGCAGGAACCTTGCTCAAGGCAGAACAAGAATAATTGTCTTTCTAGTGGACATATGCAGGCTCCCTCCCAGTTTACACTCAGACATTCCACTGAAATGGAGCATAGTTTTACACTGAAGCATACAGAAAACATTTATTGGTTGATACATAATAAATATATGATAAAATATAGTAAACAGAAATTCAGAAAACTCCTGACTATCAAAGTGCTTCAATACATAGAAATGAAAAGGCTCAGAAACAAAGCCTAAAATTGGAACACTGCTATACAGACAATCAAAATATTTACAAAACAATTTACAGGTTTTATTTCACACAATATAGAATTTTACCAATATTCTGTTATTCCGTTTAGCCTATTAAATTTTGTGCTAATCATACCTGATATATAACAGTGTGGACGTCCAAACATGGGATATGTAAAAAATGGCTTGGATCAAAATATATTGATATTGTAAAAATATATTTTTAATGCTTATAAGACTGTGCTCTTTTAATATATTAAAACTATAGTGTGCTTTGAATTCTCTTTCATGAAAATACTGACTTTGAAAAGTATCTCATTATCAAATATTTAACAGACCACACATTCACATAAGAAAATATCATCATAAGAATAATAAAAGACAAACGTTTAGTTCCAGCACAGTTTTAGGACGCAAGTCTATTATTCCAGGTATCAGAAAAATAAGACATTTTATTGACATCAGTTTAGTGAAGTATTGAACAGCCCCAACTAATATAATTAATAGTGATATTAAATATTTAGCAATTAAGTATTTTAGCTTTCTACCCACATAGCACCACCAGGTTACATCTAATTTATTTGGGTTTAATCCCTAAACAGTAAATAGTTTTGAATTAAAAAAAGAATTACAAAATATAGGCCAAACTCACCAAGATGGACATATTAACATATTAATATCAAATTATCATGAAGTTGAGATATGATCAGAAAATTTTAATGAAATCTGTACTTGGACAATTACAGATACCATAACTATTTCATGCCAAAATAAAGCCTCACGTATTTCTAAATTAGAAAAATGTGCGTGTTGGTGTAAAAGGAACTGTAAAATTAACAAATGGGACAGATAAGGGTTCTGCAAGAACTTATTCACTCAGCAGGTGGCGCTATAGAATCACACAACTCTCATTAGGTTTATTGGCTACTGGATGTCCTCACTGAAAAATCGTTTTCGAGTTTTTTCTAAGTCACCTTTTGTGGTATGAGACATTTGAGATTTGTCTGGAATTTTCTATGAATCCTTGACAATTCCTTCTAAAGGAAGATGTGCTATAAATATAATATTCGAGCAGAAAAATGTAGCTGAATGGGAAAAATATTCCTGAGAAATAACTATCCTATATTTTCAAAGTGAGTATTGTCCAGCATTCAAAGTGAATTTCAAATTTAAGACCAAATTAACTAAACTGGAAAAATTCTCCAACTCATCTAGACATCCATTTCAGCTATTTTAGTCTACAATGTTAAATTCATGTTGAATCCTTAACAATTCTCACTTTAGGAAATAACTGTTTGTTCATATATGGCTCCTATTTTTGCCCTACGATTGCATATCTCACCTTTTTCAACTATTTGTTTTACAGTACCCCAGTTTCCATTTGTTTTATTTGCTATGCTTATTTACAATTATTAATAATTATTTACAATACCTGCATGTCCTGCAATAGCAATTGATGTTTAAAAAAAAAAATCTATTGATTTATATTAAACATTAAGCTCACATTCTGACTTTGCAAACACCTTAATACAAATTGCTTGTTAAAAAAATGATCTTACAAAAAAAAGTTTGAAAATATTGGATATTTTTACAATAATAAATGTACATAAATGCTGGTTAAACTGTTGAGTGGAAGAGAGGTAGGAAACATATTTCTTGCGTGCGTGTGTTGCATACGTCTCTTGCACTCAAAAGGTTAACATCAGTGCGACTTGATTGTGACAGTCTTTCCATTGTCTCTTTTCTTGTTGTGTGTGTGCTGTCTGTTTTATGTACCAGTTTAGTGTTCACTGTCCGTAAGGTCACTATGACTGTCTCGAATGGAGACATTTCTCATGCTGCCGTGGTTTTCTTGCTTTGCGGTGCTGGAGAGGTCAATGGCTCTGTCTTCTGAAGTGTCCATTGCACTGCTCTTTTGCAGAGAGCGTCTTTGTGATTCTGCCTCCTTGCTTAACAAAGCTTCATTCTGATGACGCGCTCTGAAACTCTCTGCTTCCGCTTCATCTATTTCGTCTTTTCGGGTTATGTCAACGGATTTTTTATGCATCCCTGTGAGCCAAAAAAAACTTCAAATTAGCCTTAGCAACATTAAAGCGTGGTATATACAAGTTGTATTTAATCAACAAAATTATTTCCTGACATTTTTAAAAAACAAATTGTGCTTATACTATTTAATATTTATTGCATAGACATAACAGCTACGTAAAAATAAGCATCTGAGTATCTGTACAGAGACAGACAAAATAATGCAGTATATAGATTGTTGGTGTGCTATATCACGTCTTGCAAAGTATGTAAAGCATAATGTTTTCATCAAGTAGACCAGTTAGACAAGACACCGACACAGCTGGAAGAAAAGTTTTATTAACCCTCATTAGTCCACGCTCTTAATGAAGGGGGTAATAGGTACAAATGCAAATATTACTGCAAGAAAGTAATGCCAATTTTCACCTATTCCTATTTACTGAGGAATATAAGAAACTGTGCTGCTATAATGACACTTTATTAAATGAGAATCCCAAGTATTTTGGAAACTTATCTTTATTTTGCAGGCATGTGAACGAACACACAAATGAAAAAATGAAAGGTTGCAATGGCCCATTTAATGTTATATAAAAAAAAATAACATTGTATTACTGTTTGAAAAGGTAACGCTGTGTGAAATATAGCTCTACAAACTAATATGTGTTATATTTTCATTTATACTGCTATTATTATTATTATTTAATAATGTTTCATATTTTCATGAGCAGAACATATGGCCTTGTGATGGCATATACCTTCCTGTTGTAATTGCTGCTCTTTGCCTGTGACATACATATTTGCCTTTTTTTTTTTTTTCTTAAACCCGTTTTCTGAATGTTTTTAACAACCTTTGGAACTCCAGATGTTGTGGACTACATCTCCCATAATTCTCTTATAGTCGTCATGCTGACAAAGTATCATAGGAGATGTAGTCTACAAAATCTGGTGCTGAATGTTGCCTACCCCTGTTCTATAACCAACGTTTGGTAAATGGGAAACAGCAGCAATTGGAAGTGACCCTTACCCAGCAGCCAGGGAGCACAGGAACCCACCAATCCATTCTTTGCTGAATTAATGATGGACTCTGGTAGAGGGATGGAATGTCTCACCATGGCACCATAAAGCCCATACTCCGCCATAACACTGCTTCGTCCCCAGCACTTCTCACGCTTCCTCCACTTAGCTCTTCTGTTCTGGAACCAGACCTGTGTTATATCAGAGACAATATAAAATAATATTAGGAACACAATCAACAGTGATAAAAAAAAAAAAACAATACACTTGACACACATATATAGTTAAAAATTACAGTATCTTGCCTGTTATTTTAGAGCTCATTGTGTTTCAGAAATATTACTTGAAATTCCTTGGCATGACTGTTATTTTTCATTTTTTGGTCAAACAAGTTATAATAAACTATCCTGCCCCAAGCCACAATATACTGTGCAAGTCAATATTTTATTTTACACAGAGGGGAAACTACCCAGAGACTTGTACTGTGAAGGTACCCTGGAAATACTAGTCATTGGGCATCTGTTGCACAACACTAAACAATGTTAGTAGCTGGGGTTTTTTTGTTTGTTTTTTGCAAAAATCTGACTGGTAAAGGGGTCTGTTATAAGTAAGGCACTAGAGGCAGGAGATTGCACCCCCCTCGCTCCATGGAATGTAGGACAGATAGAGCAAATGTATTAATGCAACTGGGTTCTCGCTGTAATGTCAGCATATTGCACGCAGGGTTACGTGATGTCACGTGATTTTCACGTCCAATCTGAAATGCCTGTCCGATGTGTCCCTTTAATGTCACCCTCCTATCTTACCCTCCCTTAGTTGGAATTGGAATTTAAATCACACATACACTGGTAGAACCCTTCTCCCCCTACAATCACACATCTTCCTGTATATAAAGCCCTAAACTAGTCCTCCTGTTTGTTGAACATTTTTCCGATAAGCACCAAATTATTTCCCATTTGGTCAAATTACTTTTCTTCTGCAAACTATTAACTTATTCGCCTATCTAGTAAATCCTGATTATGTTTTTCATTTCATACCTCAACACCTCAACCTGCTTAAAGTCTGTAAGCTTGTGTCTATGTATATATTTTGTTATAGTTCATGAAATCTGTGACTACCGATCAGCTTGCTTATAATCGTCACATATTACGTATTACTTATTATTCTAAAATTGTTTATAATTGTTCATAAAAACAAATATTTATATATCAGAGTAAGTCCACCTATATAACAGACGTTCTACTCATTGAACTGGTAAAAATCCATACTTTATACAGTAAACAGCCAATTTTATTTTTCAAATGCAATAATTTAATATAAATAAAAATATAATATGCATTTGTACATCACAGTAAAGTGCAGACTATATTTGTATCATGAGTCATGCGTACAGGGGACGGAGGGAGGGATTTAGTCACCAAATCAGGAATTGTGGCAAAGTACATATTTTAGGTCATTATAGCCATGTTGGAAAAGTTCTCCATCTTGTCTAAAGTTTGGAATTCCTTTTTTTAAGGGTTATTCAGTAAAGTGAAAATTCAAAGTGTATTTCAAATTTAAGGTTAAAATTGACAGACTGGAAACATTTTCTATGTCAGCTATGCTTTCGACTAAGCTTCTTTGAACTTAAATTTGACATTCACTCTGAAAAAACCTGGATTAACTCTATGCCTTATAAAGTACAGGTTATTCACTAAAGTTGAAATTGTAGTGAATTCAAAGCTCATTTCAAATTTAAGGCCAACACTGGAAAAAAAAAAATCTCCATGTTAGCTATAGTTTTAGCTCAACTATTTTAGCCTAAAATGTTGAATTTAATTTAAATTTCCCAAAATTCCCAAATTAATTAATAAAAGTTTCAGCATTCAATTAATTTGACTTACATGACTAGACAATGTATTGTTATTACTGGGCAGTAAAGAAAGTATATTTTTGGAGGTTTTTACATCAAACTTGTATAGTTTGCCCATAAATGTGTATGCATCCCTAAACTGCAATTCTTCTAGAAAAAAAACAATGAATTGAACAGAATTGTATCAACTTTGATCTAATTTTTTTTTTTAAATTAACTGATAAATGTATATATTTATTTTAATTTTTCTTTTTTTTTAATGAAAATAAGAAGTGACCTTCTATTTTTTTCTTTCAGTGCATGAAGTTTAATTATAATAAAATACACACAGTTATTGGTTTCTTAGAAAATACCATTTATTGCAAAATAAACTTCTCTTGATTAATGTGAAAGCTTCTGTAGGGTAACAATAATCCAGAGGCCAATATTTTACTTTGAGTTAAAAATATAGGTTAAACTAGCTGAATTGGGTAAATGTCCAGCTCAGTTGAATTTCAACGATTCTCCCAATGCTATTTTGGATTTAATCTTACAAATGTGTTCTTGAGTTACTGCTTACTCTATGAAACCCATTTTTTAGTGATTAAATAGTAAATTGTGGCAAAATGACTACAGAGCTGCAAAATCTCACTCAGTGAAACAGCTTGACATTTATTTTACTTATCGCAATCCACTGTTTAGTAAATAAACCCCCAGAATAAATATTAAAGATACAAAACTGAGATTTTACAGTTAACAGTTATTAAGAAATGATATAATGGTCAAAATACACTGTTGTAACACAATATAATATATTGGTGATGCTGACAGTTGGTATAGTTACTCAATTACTCTTAGAGACTAGCTCGTACTGCCAAAGGACAAGGTGCATTATTAAAAAAAAAAAAAACTAGTTTTGTGCCTTTTTTTTAAATCCAGCATTGGTTCAAAGGTACCAAACAAGGCAATCCTATAAATACTTGTATGTGAGACATTTCCTGCAGAATATATAAATAATGACATCTTTCATTCAAAGCAGTTGAGAATTTGTTTTCAGATAGCATACAATCTGCTACACTATTGTGTACACACGCTATCTAAAATGTAGATCCTCAGTGTTTATTGTCTTCCTAATGAAAACCACCCTTTGTATTGAATTCCTTTACTTTCTGCTATCATCTCTGCTGAACGGTTATTCTGTGTATCTACTACTATTTTCGTTAAATCGTACTCCCTATTAGTTCAATAGAATAACTTGTAATAAAATGTAAATTTGAATAATATATAAATATATATATATGAGATCATTCATTTCACCTGTATTCTGTCCTCAGGAAGCTCCGTCTTCAATGCAAGCATTTCTCTGGCATATACATCAGGATAATGTGCTTCATTAAACGCTTTCTCTAATTCTTCCAGTTGATGAGCAGTAAATACAGTCCTGTAAGCCCAAATACATTTATTTATTCATACACATGCCTAAATATAAAAAAGAATCCATGTACAGATAGATATTTATATATATTCATATCTATGGAGCCATACACAAACTTACAGTTAATGCCTTATTGATCCATTTATCATGTTGTAAAAATAGTTTCTGATAAAAGTTATATTTTAACCTCACTCACACCTGATTGTGCTACAAATTTCAAGCACCTTTGGATAAAGCCATTGTAAGCAAAACTGATTTCATTTTTTGTGCATTTGATGATATAGCAGCCATATATGTATCCTAATAAATGCCAGATCAGAGCACAGAATCCCTTAATTAATTAATTAATTAATTTTGTACTCAGGAATTTTAAAGGAAAAATGCTTTTGCCTGGAGTTTACAGTACGCAATTTCAGCTGGATTAATACAGTATTGTATAATAAACAATGGCAAACATTAATTTTTTTCAAAAATATAATATATATTATAATATATAATATACAGAATATATAATAAAAATATATATTCTGTAGAGTCAAATTTAAATTAAAGCTGCTCTTTAAAATGTAGTAAAATGAACATGTTAAACAGGCCAAAATCATGCTAAATTCGTATTTTACCTGTGTCTTCTTTTCTTTCGTTTAGCCTGCGAGTTGGATTTCAGATCATTCTTATCCCCTATTAAGCTCTCATCATCTAAAAATAAGACAAATATTAATTATTTACCTGTTGGTTCTAGACATTTTCATTTAAAAAAAAATTCAGCTGCTAGGGAGCAAAATATAATGCAATTCAGGGATAGGGAGTAAAAGATAATGAAAATATTGAATGAATCATGTTGGGAATTATACGTAAAGATTAATTCTAGAGTAAAGTTTTTAAAGTGAAAGAATTGACATGGAAACCATTTGTAATATTATTGCAGATGGCAATTTTTTAGAACGTTGGCTAAAATCCCCAATCTACTGGGATATGTCCATACATAAAATCAAGATATTTCACTAAATTGAACTTAACATGTATGTTCTGAAAATGCCAATACTATTTTATGTCACGTTTCTATTATATCACTCTCCCCTTCAGCACCACTGCAGACCCCTTGCATTCTGGACAGCTCACTGATCCCAAAGGTTCCTTTCTCCTGAGTCTTTACTTTCCCCTGCTGCTGTCTCCAAGAATGAGATGGATTTAAATTGACCACGATCCTTAATGATGATTAATTGATGATAATGATAATTGATTAATTTGGACCGAGAAGTATGACACATTCTAAACTAAAGGAAAAAGAAAGTGGTCATTTTAACATCTCATACCAGAAGAGTGGATATCTGAGTGTGAAATATCTCTTCAAAGTCCTACAACACTAATGGAATTATCTTCTCTGTTTGATGGGCTACTGACACAATTCTAAAATAAACTCACAAAGTATCCCATGGTTACTGATGCAAGATTCCAAACTTATACACATCCCAAGTACAGTTAGATGGGGGCAGAGATTGCTACTTTTCCCCTATGGATAGAGTTAGACAGGGAGAATTCACGATGGTATAGGATTGCAATGGATCTTAAGTTACCAGAGATGTTCTCCTTGTGCTTCTCTGAAGGGTGGAGGTACTGGTGCTCTGATCTTGGTTGCAGAAAGGGGATGTGAGTTGGGAGGAGACAGGTAGTTCCAGTGGGCTGTTGAGATGCAAAGCCACACAGAAACCCCAACCCAAGTGGAAGAGAGCCATTAGCCAAAGAGACCCCACCAAGACCACCTCCAGGTCCTTCACAGCTGGACACAGACACTGAGGGGGGCTGTAACTCCGCTTCAAGACCAAGCAGGTCAGTGATGGCAAAACCTTTGGATCTCATGGCAGGTCCATGAAAGCGCCCTCCCTTGTCATTTCCTGCACTGGGAGCCAGGATCTTCACTTTTGATTTCCCCTCTGAAATCTCGTCTCTCCCGGTCATGCTGACTTAATGGTGAGGATGATGATGATCAATTAAGTTAACTTTCTTTTTGCTGCTTCCAGTCTGCTAGACATGTGAAGGATGGAAGTGGTCAGTGCGGGCTGAGGTTATTTTATGTGGATCACTGGCTCCAATCAGCTCCTGGACAAGCCCCTGACAGTGCAGGGAGAGGGTCCCACCTCCCTCCCAAACCCCAAAGGATTAATTGGCACCAATCCCCCCTCCCCTCCCATCAATCTGATAAATTCCCTATTCTAACCTCACTCCACCTTCTCTTTCCCTCTGCCTGATCCTTGTGGTCACTTGCTTTTTGTTCAGAATGACAGATTTCACCTAACTTTGAATCTGTAGAGACCTTTTGTTTGTTAGTGAATGGCACATAGTGACCTTACAGCACGAGTTAAGGAGCCCCCCCTTAGTTTCCCCCCTGATTGATTCTGACACTTAACTACCAGACCACAACAGGGGACATTCATATTACCAACACCACAAGAAAAAAAAAGTTAGCTTAAATACAAAAATAGGACATCACTGAAAAGCAAGAGTTAACAATAAAATAACTACATTCTGAACATACTTGGTATTGGACACATTTGAATTGCAGGCGTTTGTGTTGTTGTTTTTTTTTAAGGCAGAATCTCGTGTTCCTTTATAAGTTAGTTATGTTATATATTACAATATAGTATAGCAAGTTATGTTATATATTACAATATAGCATAGCAAGGGTGACCTGACCCATTATCCTCAGACGGCCTTCAAACTTGCTATTACTAGTACAGAAAAATAGTAAATAATTTGGTAGAAAAAAAATAATACTTACAATAAAGTTATTTCCAGAAAAAAAACCACAGGGATAGAGGAAATTGTTAGCCATTTGAAGGTAGAGGTTGCCAGCGGGTTTTTTTTAAACCTTCACAGTCACTGTGTCTTTTACTCTTTAGTTACATAATTATCATTAATATTATTAATTATTATTATCACCATAATTATCATTTTTTTTTTATCAACACTTTACATTCTCGAGAGAAAGATTTAGCGTTGCAAGTTTCTATCTTTGGCCCACATGTGCCTATATTTGTAAAGTTATGACAATCTCAGAAAAATATGTTTTGTACTGTACAATAAAGATTACTTTGTTAGTCTTCCTTAAATAAACGCTTCCATTCCATTGGTAATTGCGTTTCCCTTTTTAACTTCCATCATATTTATCTTGGTTTATAAAGGGGCACAGTTAAAAGTTCATCCCATAAGTCTCTATCACTATTTGTATGCCTGGCTGACTACTCGGAGTCCTTGATCAATCTAATTCACAGTTTTTAGCACTATTTTTTTTCTCTGAAACCTTCATAAATACAGGATTGTGAATTAAAAATTTAACGCCAAAGTAGCCAAACTGATAAAATTCAAAGTCATCTATGTTTTAAGTTTGGCTACGTTGGCCTCTAATATGAAATTTACTTTGAATTCTCACTTTAACAAATAAACCTGCTATGTTCCTAAATGACATTAGATGCGTACTAATTGTAGTCTGTTTTATTGCTTCTGAATGGCATTGATAGAACAGATTTTTAGCATGATAGGGTGGCATAATATAGAATACCTGAAGGAACCTTGAGGCCTGTTGTGCACTGTATCCTATTATATTAGTGTCTCGGACACTTATATTTCTGCAGTGGTATGTCCAACGTAATTTAGCATCGCAAAGTGCATCCATTGACTTAATATGACACATTTAGATAAATATAATAATGTTAAATTGTCGACAAAGTGACATTGTCTTCAATTGCCAATCTGTTATTATTATTGCCATTTATATAGCGCCAACAGATTTCGTAGCGCGTTACAATATAATAAGAGGGGGTATTTAACTATAAATAGGACAATCACAAGAAAACTTACAGGAACGATAGGTTGAAGAGGACCCTGCTCAAAGGAACTTACAGTCTGTTGTCCTTCTTCTCCAATTTATAATTAATTCTGTTTCTACCTCTCTCTTGCACGTTCTTGTTTCCTCTGTACAGTATGATACAATCATTCTTTATTTTCGGTTCTAATAAATGCAAGTATTGCCTATTGATATTGATATTGGTACACATTACAGATCTCTTGATATGATATTTATACCAGCACTGAATTAGATTTTTTTAAATTGTTGTGTCTGAAAAGTAGTGTACATTTTTAAAAGTAGGTCAGTCACCATGGAAACCAGTAGGTGTTTTAAACTGGTGATTAATCCACTTTGTACCGCGTTTCAGACCACAACACTAATATATTTCCTTCAGTGTGCTCATATAGCTGACGTGCTGTATTTATGAACCCCTTAAGAACCAAATGTTACATTTTGCCATCATCCCAATCTGGTCCCTAAGGGCCTTTCACCAGAATAAACCGTCTTGGGTATTTAGCATCGGAATCTCTACAAACCTCTGCTGTTGTTAATTGATTGGCCCATTCCATTTTGGAACAGCATCCTCACAGAAAGAATTATAAAAAGAGTTGGTGGTATTTAAGAGTTTAATAAAGCAGTTCGAAAAAAACGAATATGTGCTTTGTTAAATTTTGCAGCAGCCATGTATAGTAGGTAGATTCTTGCCCATAGGAGCTTGCACTCTAAACATATATAGGATTCTAATTACTGAAACGCTGTAGGTTTTCGTACAAGTCCTGTGAAGGTGAAGATGCTGATCTGTCTGCCTCTGACTAGCCTCCGATGCGTACATCTGACCAGGCTGCAGCACTGTCTACTCCCCAGTGGCATTTTTCCAATGTAAAACCAAACCCAGTCATTTTGAGCACAAAGTGGGCAATCCTAGTTGGCAGAGACACACATCTCTCTGAAAAGATTACTCAGCGTCACTTTTCCTGGCTCGGTTTGGAAAGGGAATCCAGTAAGAGTGAATTAACTCCCTTTGCGACCTCAGAGTGCATTTTATATCAAAGAAAGGAGAATCCCTCTCACTGTCATACTGCTTCTACACATGTAGCAGGTAACGTCAGAATCTGGGCACTATACATTATTTACCTCTACACAAAAACCATATACATTCTCAAGCTACGGTAAGTTACAGATAGGAAATATTATTTTATAAAACATCATTTTTTTAAATGTTCTAAAATATATTCTAAAGCACACGCAAATAAATAAAAACAAACACTGTATTTTAAAATAATGGATTTTTTAAGTTACTATGGGTTATTACAAACTAGTGAATTCAGATGAATAATTTTATAGTTTTTCTACATACTGGGCGAAGTATTACTTATTTTGTAATATACAGTATACTCTGTGTATTTATAAAGATATAGAGATTTAGATATGTGTTTTTAGATGTTATTAAGGCGTTGAATATTCTTGGCTCTACATCCAAAACCTGTTGCAGATTTTACTTATTGCATTACTGATTTTACTTGCACTGTATTCACCTTTGATGAACTCATCCATGTCAACTTAGAAAGCCCCAGCCCATTTTCCATGTGTTCTTATGATGTAAAGAAATGGAAGTTACTTGTCATATTTGATCTTATACGTGTCTTAATGGCATCCGTTTATGTGATTTCAGTTCTTGCACCTGGATTGCATTCCCCGTTTCATCTGTTTATGCAAACGATTTACAAACAGCTTACATCAACTGCTCTAAAGCAGATCTCTTTTTGATTTGGTCCTTTTCTGCTAAACATGCAGATTAAACAAGGGGCTTCTGATAAAGATAATTACAAGAGAGCTACGTATTAACTTTACATTATTAAAGAAAGACCCAAATCTCCCTTTGCAAGCTGTTCCTGGGATTAGCAAAATAATAACTTTCATTTAGGATAATTGTAATTTGAATTGCTTGGGTTTATGGTTTGCTTTTGGAGATAACAATTTATTCTTGGCCCAAGAGGACAAAACTAAAATCTAATTATTCAGGTTATTGCGCCAGGTATCAATAGGACAGATAGTTTTCAACAGAATGGCTGCAGTTTAAAAGCTGATAAGTGGGCATTGCTTTGGTTGTCAGAAAGGAAGACTAAGGCACAGTGAAAGCTTGTATTCTTTTGACCTATTCCTTTGAAAAAAATACATTAGCTATTTACCTTAACCCACAACAATGACCAGTGTTGGTTCCTTTAACAGTTTTCTGTTTGCATTTTCAAATGCTTTTTGTGCATTCAACTAACAAATTACAAAAAACAAAACAAAAAAATACGGATGAATATGTGTTTATTATGTGTAAAAATAAAGATGCTGCCATAATATTCCAAAGGTAAAATATTCACCTCCTGCACTACAAGTTATATAAGAGGTGAAGTTACCTTTGTATGAATGTGTTTTGTAACTTCAATGGACTTAAAAGGAAATTTCAATTTTGTGAATCTAGTAAAAATAAATCATAAAATAACACAAATTCATTAATAAACATCACTTGCATTGAGTATCAAATTGTCCCGTTCTTCTTAAAGCAAACTATTTTATGGAGCATAAACATAAGGGGCTACTCTAATGACAATAACTAGTAAATCTCATTGTAATGGTTATGGGGCTGTATGACTCTAGCCATCATCTGTCAAAGTATTTTTGAGCAGTTTAACAAAAACTGGGTATCTCACCAGTCCCCGTAGCACACTTCCTCTGCACCTGCTCTGATAATGCATCAATTACAGTTCTGTATTTTCCTTTATCAATTTAGCCATCCCTGGACAACAATAGTAAGCTGAGAGCTCTATGCTAACCCAAAATCATGGATTGTGCCTATAGACCTATGCACCCATAGCAATTAAGCACATGTAATACCTATAGTAGACTTAACTGTCTATATCTTGGAACTCTGTAAAACAGCTAAGACATATAAACGCTTTTGGAAAGGTTCTTGTGACTCAATAATTGAGAAACCTATTTCAAGTATGGATTTAAAATGCTGCATAAATACTATATAATCCACTTGGAATAGAACTGATTGAGGAGAGCAGAAATTAACCAGATGGAGGAAACAGGATGAAAAGAGAGAACAGGTGAATTGATTGATAAAACCTAAGAGTGGTTAATTATGTAGGGGAACTAGGCCAAAAGACAATCTAAATTGTTTATACTGGGTCTCATAATATGTGATAGTATTCTAGAGGGAATTTTGCAAAACATTAACTTAATAAAATGGCTTGGAGATGGAGAAGAAACCTT